TTCACTAGCTCCCACTGCCCTTGGGATAACATGCAAGCTCCTTCGCCTGGCACATCTGGCCCTCCGCCCTGGGCCCTGGCCACCTGTCCAGCAGGAGGGCCTCACCCCACCTGCTCCCTCACACCTTGCATGCCACTCTCAGAAATACCCCCTCCCAACTATCCAGGCACACACCCCTCTGGCCCTTTGCTCAGGGTGGTCCCTCCCGTCTAGAATACACATCCCCCTCTCGGGCTCCTTTGTCAAGCTCTTCATTTTTCAAGACTCAGCCCGGAAACAGATAATAGATCTCAATGAAAGAGTGAAGCCTATAGGGGCGCGTGGGTGGCTCAGTCGTTAAGCATCTGCCTTCGGCTCAGGTCATGGTCCCAGGGTCCTGGGAACAAGCCCCGCATCAAGCCCCGCATCAGGCTCCGCAGGAAGCCTGCTTCTCCCTCTCCCCCTGCTTGTGTTCCTTCTCTCATTGTCTCTCTGTCAAATAAATAAATAAAAATCTTAGAAAAAAAAAGAGTGAAGCTTATAAAAATAAAGAATAAATCGGGGCACCTGAGTGGCTCAGTCGTTAAGCGTCTGCCTTGGGCTCAGGTCATGATCCCAGGGCCCTGGGATCGAGCCCCGCATCGGGCTCCCTGCTCAGTGGGAAGCCTGCCTCTTCCTCTCCTCCTGCTTGTGTTCCCTCTCTCGCTGTCTCTCTCTCTGTCAAATAAATAAAATCTTTAAAAAAATATAGAATAAATCATAAAGGAAAATCTCAGGGACCTTAGATTGGCAGATTTCTCAAATATGACACTAAAAGCACAAAATGTAAAAGAAAAAATATTAATCAGCGGGACCTTATCAAAATGGACTTTTGCTCTTCACATGACACTGTTATAAAACATAAAGGGCGAGCTAGAGACTAGGAGAAATTATTTGCAAACATATATCCGACAAAGGACGTGTCCTGCGTCTCTAGAATACGTAAAGAACTTGTATGATTCAATGTTAAGAAGGCAAATAAGTTAATTTTTGAAATGGGTAAAAAGTTTGAACGGACAATTCATCAAAAGAAATATATGGATGCTAACTAAGTGCATGGCAAGATGTTCAAGTTTATATATCATCAGGGAAATTCAAAGTACAATGAGATAGCACTACCCGCCTATTTGAATGGCTAAAAATAAAAGGACTGCCCCCACCCTGTTGTGACTGTAAAGGAACCAGAACTTTTACTTTCTGCTGGGGAGTCAGGAAAGGATCTGAACCTGATACCGTAGGGGTCAGAATATGCCACCTGGAAATATGCCACTTTGCATAAGGTTTATTTTGAGCTAAAGACAACTGAGAAACAGCAAATGCCAAAAAAAAGGCGATCTGCCTTCTGCCTTATTTGCCTAAAAGCAGGCTTAGACTCATAATCAGCCGAGATGAATCCAGACTCTTAACAGCTCAGAGATGGCACCCAGAGGAATCAAAACAATAAGCCTTCGTGTATTAACCCTTATCTTCCCTAAATTTCCCCCAAGTATTCACCTGCTTGCTGCCCTTAACAAATCAACCCCTTTTCCTTTGCTCACTTCTCTGCAAAGGTACTTCAAGGTTGACCCTTGAACCACATGGGTTGGAACTGTACAAGTCCACTTATATGGGGATTTTTTTTTCCTGATAAATACAGTACAGTACTGTAAATGTATTTTCTCTTCCTTATGGTTTTCTCTTTTTTTAAAATATTTTATTTTTAAGTAATCTCTGCGCCCGATGTGGGGCTCGAACTTACACCCTGAGATCAAGAGTGGTACCCTCTACCGTCTGAGTGAGCCAGGCGCACCTTCCCTTTTTTTTTTTTTTTTTAAAGATTTTTATTTATTTATTTATTTGACAGAGAGAGACAGCGAGAGAGGGAACACAAGCAGGGGGAGTGGAAGAGGGAGAAGCAGGCTCCCCGCTGAGCAGGGAGCCTGATGCGCAACTCGATCCCAGGACCCTGGGATCGTGACCTGAGCCGAAGGCAGACGCTTAACCATCTGAGCCACCCAGGCGCCCCAATAAATAAAATCTTTAAAAACAGAACCAAACAAAGGACCATGAGGAAACTTCTGGGAGAAGTGAATACAATCATTATCTTGATTGTGGAGATGGCGTCACAGGTATATTTAAGTCAAAACTCATCAAATTAAGGGGTGCCTGGGTGGCTCAGTCGGCTGGGCGTCTGCCTTCGGCTCGGGTCATGATCCCGGGATCCTGGGATCGAGCCCCGCGTCGGGCTCCCGGCTCGGTGAGGAGCCTGCTTCTCCCTCTCCCTGCCGCTCCCCCTGCTTGTGCTCTCACACACACACCCTTTCTCTCAAATAAATAAATAAAATCTTTAAAGAAAAAAAAAACTCATCAAATTATATATTTTAAGTATGTAGGGTTTGTGTCAATTATATCTCAATAAGAAAAAGAATAAAGTTGAAAAACAGACTGAGTCCAGGCTTTCCTGAAGTTTCTCCCCCCCACCTTATAAGCCCCTCACTGAGCTTCCTGTGCCCCAGCCGCCCCCCATTCCAACCGTGAGCTCCACGAAGGCAGCAAGGACGGCACGGGACCCACTCTCTAGGCCCAGAGCCCAGCATATGGCAGGCAAGCACAACAGATTTAACCAATGAGGCTTGAACTCCCCACCTGCAGTCACATAGCTCACCTGGGACTTGAGGCCAGGTGTATCTGTCTCTTGTAGGGGAGAAAAACGTTTACTTTCTTTCCTTCTAGGTTCTTAGGCTGATTTAATAATTACATGGACATAAAACAGATTAACTGGAGAAAAACAAATTTAATTTTGTACACATGAGAGCCTATAAAAATACGGGACTCAAAGAAATGACCAAATCAGGGACACCTGGGCGGCACAGTCGGTTGAGTGGCCAGCTCTTGGTTTCGGCTCAGGTCGTGGTCTTGGGGTCATGGGCTCAAGCCCCACGCTGGGCTCTGTGCACGCGTAGCATGGAGTTGGCTTGGGACTCTCTCTCCCTCTGCCTCTCCCCCCGCCCCCCACTCTCATGCTCATGCTCTCTCTCTAAAATAAATAAATAAATCTTTAAAAAAAGGGGGGGGGGAAGAAATGACCAAATCAGGCAGATTTTATAGCTTTCAGACAAAGAAACAATAAATTTGTGAACAATTGACAAGCCAAGGAAGTCCGGGTTTGGAGTAGTTACTTGGGGGAAGTAACAAGCTTTATTTATGCAGTCTTCTCTGCCTCGGATGCCCTATCTCTGGCAATAAGGATGCCTTCTACTTTCCTGGTACAGGGAGGGCACCTTTCACATGGGAGACTTATTTCCTGCTTTCAGGGGGGACAAAGGAGATTCAGAGCGTCCTTGGCACTGGCTGTTTCTTAAGTAACTTTAACTCAGAATAATCAATATGCCAAAGTGGCATATTTTGGGGTGGCATATTTTGCTCTCCTTCACCTTCAAGCACACTCAAGTTCTATAACAAGCCGCTGTCTGGAGACCCTGGGTCCGGGGCAGTGAAGGGAGTAGAAAGAGCAACATCTTTCTCAGGCATTGTCCAGCTTCCGTTTGCCCAGATCCATGTGACTGAAGACCGGGGACCAGACCAAGCAGCCGTCTGGACTCTGGAGAGTTCAGGCTGTGAGGACAGCTTGGCCAATATGGAGCCTGACTCCAGCTCCAAGACTTGGTTCAATCTGGTTCAACAGGATCAAGGCACTTCTAGGTGATGTAGACGGGTTAAAGCAATGAACTCTAGAAGAGATTGCAAGTCCAGGATCCATGACTTACCACACGTGTGTACGTCAACTCCCTAAGCTTTATTTCCTCATATGACAAATCGATAAGTAATAACAGCATCAGCTCCAGGGAATGTGGTCAGGATTAAATTAGTTTTAACATATGTAAGAGGCTCACAATGGGGCCCAGGGAAGAGGAAGCCTTCACTAAGCATTCCTCCTTCTGTTTGGTTAGAGAGTGGCATCCAGTTCCCCTTTCCGGATTCCGCCAGAGCCTTTTTCCTACCTAGAAACTTCTGGATGGCTCACTAAAATCTCACAAACCTTGCTCTCATTTGGGAGTTCAGAACCTCAGGGTCCTTGGGGGCGCCTGGGTGGCTCAGTCGGTTAAGCATCCGACTCTTGATTTCAGCTCAGGTCGTGCTCTCAGGGTCGTGAGATTGAGCCCCGCATGGGGCTCCATGCTCAGCTCCAATCTCAGCTCTGCCTGAGATTCTCCCTCTCCCTCTTCCTCCACCCCGACCTGCTGCTCGCTCTCTCAAAAAACAAACAAACAAAACCCCACCAGAACCTCAGGGTCCTCATCTTAATTTTTTTCTCAATAAGTAGACTTCCTTGAAATAATTTCAAATGTCCAGAAACGTTGCAGGGATAGTACATAGAATTCCTCACCTGGATTCACCGGGTGCTAACATTTTGTCACATTGTTTTTATCATTCACTCTCTCTCTCGATTATAGATAGACACACTCTCTTTTATATACATATATAAATATATTTCTGGTTTATTAGAGAGTGAGTTGCAGACATCATGCCCCTTTGCCCCAAATTCTTTAACATGTATTATGCCAGAGTACAGCCTCTTCTAACCACAGTACAATTAGTACGATTATAAACATCAGGGACCCTAACTTCAGCACAAATACATTATAAAAAGCCTACATTCAAAGTCATCAATTGGGCGCCTGGGTGGCTCAGTTGGTTAAGCGACTGCCTTCGGCTCAGGTCAGGATCCCGGAGTCCTGGGATCGAGTCCCGCATCGGGCTCCCTGCTCGGCAGGGGGTCTGCTTCTCCCTCTGACCCTCCCCCCTCTCATGCTCTCTCTCTCTCTCTCAAATAAATAAATAAATACTCTTAAAAAAAAAAAGTCATCAATTGCCCCCCAACTGTTCTCCCCGCTGTCTGGGTTCCAGTCCAGACCCCGCATTGCGTTGAGCCGCTCCGCTGCTCTGCTGTCCACAGCCCCCGAGCCTCTGCAGAGAGCAAGATGGAGTCACTCACGTCCAGCAGATGTCCTTGCAGCAGTGACGCAAGCCATTAAGGGTACGGCAGCTAAGAGATAGCCTGAGACCAGATCAGCTGACACCCCAGAACTGATAACAGGCAGAAGTACAGTGGGTCTGCGGGGGTCCGGGACTGCTGAAATCCCTCTAAAAAGGGAGGAGTTTGGCAGCACACGGTCAGACCCCTCAGACATGACCCCTCTAGGTCTGACCACTTAAAAAAAGCAGCTGCCACCAAAGGTTCCGCCGGATTGAGCAGGTGCCCAGGACTGACCCAGGCGCCACCCAAGTCTTATCTCCCCTGCGTGCCCACAGACTGACTTCACGTTTGGTTCATTAACTTCCTACCCACTCTGTTATCTTGTGGACTGTGTGACTTGTCTCGTGTTCTGCTTTGCGGGCCAGTAAGAAGCCAAGTCAATCACGTCTTCCAATGCCACTGACTTTGGAATCCTGAACCTGCTTTATAATGATGTTAATCTTGCTTTATGCCTGAATAAAGCTGACCTCATGGAAGGACACAACTCGTGTCTTTCCTAGGTGCTGGTGACAACGAGCTTGTGGCTGGGAAGATAGGAAGGGGCTGCTTTTTGCACTGGACCCCCTGTTTGAGTAGATGCCCGCCGCTAGGTGGGATCACACGCCCACCTCGCTGGGCTGCCGGGTCTGCAGAGCCGGCCCTCGGAGGCGCTGAGCAGGTCGGGGTCCCTAACGTGAGGCTGGGGAGGCCGGCGAGGACCCGCGGAGCAGGTGGCGGGGGTGGAGGGAAGGACGCCGGCTCTGCGGGGACGCGGCCGCCTGCGCGACCTGGGGGCCCCGGGGAGTCGCCGCCTCCGCCGCCGCGGCGGCCCGGATTTCTCCCCAGGGGAGGGAGCCGGAGCACCTGAACCGTGACTCAGCGAGAGCGGCCCTCGGACCGTGACTCAGCGAAAACAGACCTCGGGACCGTGACTCAGCGAAAACAGACCTCGGGACCGTGACTCAGCGACAACAGACCTGAGATCGGGACTCCGCGCCGAGCCTGCCGGCGTGACTCAACAGGAAAGGGCGGCAGGGGTGCGGGGCAGAGGGTTCCTCAGCGGGAGGCCGTCCGCGCCCGACCCCTGCCCCCAGCGCCCGCCGAGCTCAGCAGCCACCAGCGCCCGCGGGGCCGGGCCTCGGGGAGCGCGGGAGTGGCAGGTACGCGGGCTACCTGAGCAGGTGACCTGGCGCAGGTAACTCAGCCCGTCCCAGCGTCGTGGGCAGCGTGGGGACGGCTGCGGCGGCCTGGGGGGGTCCTCGGCCCCGTTGAGTGATCCCACCACTTCCTTCTGCCCAGCTCAGCCAACGCTTGGCTGCCTCAGTGTCCCCATCTTCAAACTGAGGGGCAGAGAGAAGCTCCCTTCCCCGGACGGCATTCCGTGGGTGTATGTTTATACTTTAAATAATCCATTTTTATCCCCTAGTTAGAAGACGCTGCCCGGCCACTGTACTGCACTGAAGTCTATGATCCCCAACCTGCAGACCACTGTTGCTAACGTTCTCGTGTATTTGTTAGGATTAAAAAAATAACCAACTCTATCATGCCCACAAAGGAGTATATTCTACAGTATGATTCTGTGCAAGGAACAGTGATAAGGGGAACATAGCTTATGAAGTAGCTCTTTCTCTTTTTTCTGTGCAAATTCTATATGATTGTGATCCTAATGTCTATGGTATACCTTTGTCTTCCTTTGTTTCATTAACACAACTGTTTTCCCAAATTGTAACAGGGCCCTTGTAAGCATTATCTCAAAGGCCTCACAAAAATCCATTCAGGAGACATTCATTCATTCAACACGGTATCCCGCCCGAGTGCCTGGGGCCTACTGTTAAACCTTTGGGTTGCTTCCTATTTATTTTTTTCCTATTGAAGGAGAAAGATAAGGAGTATTTAAAACAGTCTCTGGCTTTCACATACTAGGGGAAGGGCGTTTTTCATATCAGAGAATTGTCTTTTTTTATTTTTGAACATACGTTGCTTGCTTTCCCCTGCTCCCCAAGATCTGGATGGAAAGGTTAAAAACAAAGGAGGAAGAAGGGTGGGCTATGAGGGACTTCTGAGACCAGGGCCTTCAACAGATGCTGGAAAGCAGGTAAACTGACTTCTCCCTGAGGCTTACCTAGGGTTCACCATACTTAAGGGGGCCACAGAAATGTTTTAATTTTAATTTCTTTTAAAATCAGAAGAAAACAGGGGTGGCCTGGACGGTTCAGTCAGTGCCCGTCAGAAACCTGACTCTTGGTTTCCGCTCAGGTCATGATCTCAGCGTCCTGGGATTGAGCCCCAAGTCGGGTTCCCTGCTCAGCAGGGAGTCTGCCTCTCCCTCTCCGTCTCCCTCTCCCCCTGTGTGCACGTGCCTCTCTCTCAAATAAATAAATAAAATCTTTTTAAAAAAAAAATCAGAAGAAAACAAAAGAATACAATAATAATAAATATAGAATAACGAATCCAGTTGAGAGTGTATTCATCTCTATACTACTTCAGTCCTAAAATGCTATTTTTAATTTTAGTTATTTAGTTTTTTATTTTTTTAAATGGAGGAGAGGGTCCTCAAAGACAAAGGTGCCTTGGGCCCATGAAAGTCAGAATGCATCCTTGCTGGTAAGCTGGGGTCTAGGATGAGAAAGTGAGCAGTAAGAAATTGCCAGGGGTGAGAAATGGCCCGTGGGCTTGCCAGCAGAGGTGGCTGATTCTAGACTCCTAGTAGCTACCTGGGTGGTGCTCCTGGCAGTGGTCCTTCACTGCAAACCCTCCGTCAGATCTGCCATTCACCAGGGCTCCGATGGGGTTCTTTGTGGGAATGAAGGAATAGGCCCCCAGAGAAGAGATGGAGGAGGGGTCCGAAACCGGCCAGGGGAACAAGGGGGGCTTGCAGGACAGTGAGCTCCCTGGAGGGTGGGTAGGGCTGGGACCTTGGCGTTTAATTTTCCTTTTCCTTTTTCCTAATTAAAGGGAACACCAAGAACTTGGGGGTACCATGGAAGCACACACTGGGTTACAAATCGTGTAAAGAACAGCAAAAGGAACATCTTCAGGTGAAGCGTTTCCTGCATTTTTGACTATGGGTTTAGATGGAAAACCAAGAGCAGAATTACTGACTGGGCCAAGCATAGAACTAACTAATTTTAAGGCTTTTGGAGTCTTGGGGCGCCTGGCTGGCTCAGACAGCGGGGCATGTGACTCTTGATCTCGGGGTTGTGAGTTTGAGCCCTACGTTAGGGGTAGAGATTACTTATAAATAAGCTCTTTGAAAAAAAGACTTAAAAAAGATTTCTTTATTTATTTGAGGGGGGACAGAGAGTGTGGGGGGAGGGGCAGAGGGAGAGGGAGAGAGAGAAGCAGACTCCCCACTGAGCATGAAGCCTGAGGCAGAGCTCCATCCCAGGACCCTGAGATCATGACCTGAGCCGAAATCAAGAGTCGAATGCTCAGCCAACTGAGCCACCGAGGCACCACCTCCCCCAAAAAAGGCTTTTAAAGCACAATGAATCATGGAACACTTCATCTAAAACTAATGATGTAATGTATGGGGATTAACATAAGAATAAAAAAAAAAGGCTTTTAGAGTCTTTTGCCTAATTATGGGTAAAAGTAAATGACTACTTTTTGTAACTTTATTTCTCATGTTTCTATAGTAAATACGACTTTTGCCACTGGGGCTCAGAGTCGGGGCAGTTTGCTTTTGTTTGAGTGACAGCCGGGAGGAAGGACCACCCCAGCACTCTGCGGGATGATGTGCTGTTTGGCTGCAAGTGAAGGCAGCGAGGGGTCTGGGACTCACCCCCTAAGGTAGGAAGAACAGGCACTGGGGCTTCAGGAAGAGGCCTTTTACCTTGTACCCAGGGCTGGGAGGAGCCCTATCACAGGTTGGTTGGCATGACTTTGCCCCTGAGCAGCTGACTGGGCAGTTGGGTGTCCGTGGCGTGTGTGCGTGGGATGGCGCGGGGTGGAGGAGGGTGGTGGGGAGAGGTGGCAGGAGTAGATGAGAAGGTTGGTGGTGGTCGAAGGTGAAGGAAACGCTCTCTCTCTGTCTCTCTCCTGGCAGGTGCCTGCAGCAGCCCCCTCCTGCCCGGAGCTCAGCCTCAGTGCTCCGATTTCCTGAAAAGCCCTCTTTATGCCCCTATGGAGTTTGGGGTGAAGCTCCAGGGAGCCTGAGGGTCTGTTATAGGCAGAACTGTGTCCCTCCCCAAATTCACCTGTGGAAGCCCTAACCCCCAGTACCTTTCAACGTGATTGTATTTGGAGATGAGCCTTTACAGAGGGGATGAAGTTAAAACCATGCTCTTCGGTTGGGCCCCGATCCGGTCGAACGGGTGTCCTTCTAGAAGAAAGACACCCGGGCGCATGCACAGGGGGAGGACCTGTGAGGACACGCCAGGAAAGCTGTTGGCAAGCCAAGCAGAGGCCTCGGAAGAAACCACACCTGCTGACATCTAGACCTTCGGCCTTCAGAAGTGTGAGAAGATGAGCTTGTGATCGTCTGAGCCACCCAGTCTGTGGCGTGGGGTCACGGCCCGTGGCTGGCACACGGACACTGGGCCCGAGACTCAAGACCGGAAGGACCCCTGAAAGAGCAGCCTCGTTCAACTTCTCCTTCCTCTCCTCTTCTCTCTCCCTTTTTATTTTGAAAAAATGCCAGACCTACTAAAAGGCTCAGGACGCAAACGGGACACTGCATGCCGGTACACCCTTCCCTGGGATCATGCCTTGTCGGGAATTGGCTCTTTTTGTGTGTCTCTCTCCTTTTCTCTCTCTCTCTCTTTTTTTTAAGATTTTATTTATTTGACAGAGAGAGAGACACAGCGAGAGAGGGAACACGAGGGGGAGTGGGAGAGGGAGAAGCAGGCTTCCCGCAGAGCAGGGAGCCCGATGCGGGGCTCGATCCCAGGACCCTGGGACTGTGACCTGAGCCAAAGGCAGATGCTTAATGACTGAGCCACCCAGGGGCCCCTCTCCTTTTCTCTTTTATTATTATTTTTCCAGAACCATCTGAGAGTACGTTGTGGACATCCTGACACTTCACCTGTAGGAACAAGGACACATCCGCATTGTTATCATCACAGTAAAGACATAAGGCTGACGCCTTAACGTCCTTTACTTTACTGTCACACTTTCCCAGGGATCCCCCAAAAACAGTCCATTGGAGGACCCCCAGAATCTAATCAAGGTTCATGCCCTCCTTTTTGCTGTCATGTCTTAGGTCTCTCGTGGCATTGACTCTGGAAGAATTGTTTGGAAGAGACAGGTTAGTTGCCTTGAAAATGTCCCATGTTTTGGATTTGTCTTTTTCCCTCACGGTGAGATTCTGGTGGAACATTCCTGGACAGAGTCCTATATGGTCATGTTGCGTCTCCTCATCGGGTGGAACCAAGGAAACTGAAACCCAGCTAGTTGGTGGCAGAGTTTAGATGCATTTCAGTACCAGATTATTATTATTTTTTAAAGATTTTACTCATTTATTTGAGAGAGAGAGAGAGCGCAAGCGGGGTGGGGAGGGGCACAGGGAGAGGGAGAAGCAGACTCCCTGCTGAGCAGGGAGCCCAAATGACACAGGGCTCAATCCCAGGACCCTGAGATCATGACCACAGCGGAGGGCAGAGGCTTAATGGACTGAGCCACCCAGGCGCGCCTTCAGTACCAGATTTTTTATTTGCCTTTATCAAGCCTGTGACTGATTGTGTAGAACAGGAAAAGCGCCTTTGTGTCAAGTGGGGGGTGTTCATTAAACAAAGGAAAACAGAATCTATTAATATAAGCAATGCTGTTCTTCCTTGTAAAGCCTGGTGGTTAAACACACACGTAGGACACAGCTTTGAATCTCATTTGTAATAAGCCATGTGACCTGAATAAGTCTTAACGTCTCTGGGCCTCGGTTTTCTTATCTGTGAAATGGGGATAATAATGGTACCTACCTCCCAGGCTTGTGGGACATGAAATTATCCATGTCAAATACTTAGCGTGGTGCCTGGCTTGTAATTAATTGCCCAATAAAAAGTAATTATTCTCATGGATGTGTTTTTATAATTATAATGATTGACAAATAAAAGTGCCCGGCCTTATCACTTCCGTGCTTCCCCACTCCCGGAAGCAAGTGAGCAGGAACTAGGTAGAGGCAGATAAGAGTGGGCAGGCCATAGCTTGAACTTGAGGGAGCCCCCGCTAGGAGGAAGGATGTGGCCTGAAGCCTGAGTGTCCCAGGATTCTCCGCGGGGCACAAGACTCTGGGCTGCACACTGTGGACCCTGTGAGTGGTGTCTGAGGAGCAGCCTCTTTCCCCAGAGCCCCTGGAGGGGGGTCATTCTCCATATACCCCTGGTGAAGGATGGGGTTGCACTTCCTGCCTCCCCTGGGGGAGGAGGAATCATGTCAAATTTCAGGCCTGAGCATCCTGTGGCCAGTGTCAGACCCTGCACGGCTCTTGTCCTCTGGCTTGGAACAGGCCATTCGGATGATGGCTTTTCCCCCTGCCTGGGTCCCCAGGTGTCTCTCCCTGCCAGCCCGCCATGGACACGCGTGTGCACAGAAGACCACCCTTTCCTGGGGATGTCGTGTCCAGCACGACTACAGTCAGTAACCCCGTCTTGTATGTTTGAAAGTCGCTAAGAGAGCAGATCTTAACAATTCTCATCACAGGGGCGCCTGGGTGGCTCAGTCGTTAAGCGTCTGCCTTCGGCTCAGGTCACGATCCCAGGGTCCTGGGATCGAGCCCCGCATCGGGCTCCCTGCTCGGCGGGAAGCCTGCTTCTCGCTCTCCCTCTGCCTGCCAGTCCCCCTACTTGTGCTTGCTCTCTCTCTCTCTGAAAAATAAATAAAAAAAAATTTTTTTTTAAGATTTTATTTATTTATCTGAGAGAGAGAGAGCATGAGAGGGGGGAGGGTCGGGAGGGTCAGAGGGAGAAGCAGACTCCCTGCCGAGCAGGGAGCCCGATGCGGGACTCGATCCCAGGACTCCAGGATCATGACCTGAGCCGAAGGCAGTCACTTAACCAACTGAGCCACCCAGGCGCCCAATAAATAAAATCTTTAAAAAAAATTCTCAACACAAGAAATAAAAAAGATAACTCTGTGAGGTGACGAACGTTAACTACATTTGTGGTGATCATTTCGCAAGGTATGCATATATGAAATCATCGCATCGCGCCCCTTAAACTAGTATAAAGTTCTAGGTCAATTACATCTCAATAAAACTGGGAGGGAAAAAAAAGAAACGCTTTGTTATTGGAGCAGTAGAGGGGGGAGGCTTGTTTATGACCTCAGCATCACCCAGCCCACCCGCCTGCAGCCCCTCAACCATGCTGCTCCCTTCCCAGCTTCTCCCCTTCCCTTCCCTTCCCACCAGCCCCGCCCCCCCCGCTCCCCCCCCCCCCCCCCATGCCTCTCACCTTGCCCACCTGGCCACCCAGCAGTCCGCCTGGTGCTTCCAAACCTATCTGGGAGGGGCCTTGGTTCTGCCCGCCGCAGCGGGACCCCCCCCCCATCTTACAGATGAAGAACCAGGGCCCACAGAGCGGACAGGGAGAGACGCGGGGTCAGGATTAGACCAGGGGAGACAGGATGTTGGCGAAGGATGGAGCCCGTGGCTCACTGTGTGTCTTCCCCCGACCCCCCCAGAGGGGAGCGGGTCTGTGGCTGACCGGGGTCCCCCCTGACCCCCCAGCCTGCCTGGCCCGGCTGGCTCCTCAGGTTTCCCAGCGAGCCACACGGGTGAGCCCACCTTGCCGCCCATGGCAGGGCTCCTTCAGAGGTTCTCTGGAGGATTGGAGTGGGTGCTGGGTGGCCCCCCGAGAGTCCAGACCTTTTTGGTCCCCGATGAGTTACTGGGGAAAGTCCCTCACCCTCTGGGCCACCTCCAGGTCCTCTGTCAGGAGGGCCGCGTCGGAGGCCTCCAGGGGCCCGACGGGCAGCGTGAGTGAGGGAAGCCAGTGGGGCCCACGTGCCCCAAGTCAGGGGCAGTTGGAACTCAGCTCCAGCCAACTCTTGGCCACGTGAGACATCCCCTTTTATTTCTTTTTTCTTTTTTAAAAAGAGATATGAGAAATGTCACGTTGGTTTTCAAACACTGGCAATAAACTCCATTAGAAAAAAAACCGCTCCATGGGCGCCTGGGTGGCTCAGTCGTTAAGCGTCTGCCTTCGGCTCCGGTCATGATCCCAGAGTCCTGGGATCGAGCCCCGCATCAGGCTCCCTGCTCGGCGGGAAGCCTGCTTCTCCCTCTCCCACTCCCCCTGCTTGTGTTCCTGCTCTCGCTGTGTCTCTCTCTGTCAAATAAATAAATAAAATCTTTAAAAAAAGAAAAAAGAAAAAAAACCGCTCCAGGACTTGAAATGGCCTCCGGCGGCCAGTTTGAGGCCTCTGGGGTTTGGGTTCCCTCCAGCTCTCCGGCTGCTTCTCTGATTGATTGGTCTGTGATTCCTTGGGGGGGGGAGGGGTCAGGTGGGGCTGATCCCAGAGGGGATTTCGGAGATGGTCATTCCTGCCTCCTGTTTTTTGGCACGTCCCCAAGCTGCCCTGTGTCACCCAGCCTTCCCCGGGGTGGGGGGGGCACAGACTTCATCCTGCCAACGCTGTGTGTGCCGAGCGCTCGGGGGACCAGTGTCATCTGCGCTGTTGTCATCATTCCAGCCGAGTGAAGTCTTCAGGGACGGGTCATCATGGTCCAGTCCCTTGGGAGTTTAGTGGCTGGTCTGGGTTTCATGGCGACTGGAGCCCTGCTTCGACTAAAGAAGAAAAGGAAAGAAAAATCTGCTCATTCCTTGGGTGTCTGGGAAGACAAGGGCTGTGGCTTGCTCCTCGCTGAGTCCTCAGAGCCTAGCACAGAGCAGGGCAGGGTCACAGCGACGGCAGCCCCTGCGGGGACAAGGCCGGACGGACGCTGGGAATACTGAGCCCGGCCTTCTGAGCTGGGGGAACAAGACTGAAGAAGGCAAATCAGGATCAAAGAGGGTGGGGTGTGTCTGTTTGCCCTAACCACCAGTTCGATTTTTTTTTTTTAAAGATTTTATTTATTTATTTGCGAGAGAGAGAATGAGAGACAGAGAGCATGAGAGGGAGGAGGGTCAGAGGGAGAAGCAGACTCCCCGCCGAGCAGGGAGCCCTGTATGGGACTCGATCCCGGGACTCCAGGATCATGACCCGAGCCGAAGGCAGTCGCTTAACCAACTGAGCCACTCAGGCGCCCTCGATTTTTTTTTTAAGTGACCTTTAAAAAGTTTACTTAAGTAATCAAAGCCACACAGCTTGTAGGTTGTGAAGCCCAGAGGTGGTGGTGTTTTTGTTTTTTGTTTTCATTGTGGTAAAATACACATAACATAAAATTCACCATTTTAACCATTTTCAAGCATGTAGTTCAGTGGTGTTAAAGACATTCATACAATTGTGTGACCAGCACCACCATCAGGCTCCTGTACTTTTCCCATCATCCCAAACTGAGACAAAGTACACATTGAACAGTATGTCAGTTAGAGTTTATGGCTTCATTGATGGGTTGGCGTTGGTGAAAAGGGTTCCCATAGAAGGTGGTGAGTGTCCCATCACTGGAGGCACGCAAGCCAAGACTGACTTAACTACCAGAATGGCACCACCAGTCTATGACTGTGAACTTGTCCTTACCAGGTTTCTCTTGGAGGGTGAGACAAAAAGCCTTACCTGTTGCTGAGGTGAGAAGTTTTGCTAAGTGGGGGGTTTTTGTGTCCCAGGGGACATGATTTGACCTGCACTTTATCTGCATTACAAACAAGCTGCCCAATAATGAGGCTCCGTTATATCTCACACATCCCCCAGTCACACATCAGGCCAGTCTGGGTCCAGCGCCCAGATGTGGCAAGTTCATTCATGCTCCTTGCCCATGCCTCGCCTTCCAGAAACGTCGAATAGCCCCCTCCACTTCTGCAAGGAGTAGGAGAGTATGTAGTGTATGGTAATCTGAGGGATAATGTTGGTTTTCTACTCCACAGCCTCCCCCCTTCCCCTTGATGACAAGACTCCCAAGTTGTTCAGGATTCAGATGAAAACATGCTCAGGGAAGGTGGGCCCAGGGCCAGGGCATGAATCAGGATTGGTCTAAGGTGTGGACGCTAAGCTATCTTGTGGTTTATGCCATTCCTCTTTGCCAGCACAGTCATGGAGGTGAATTCCCAGATGGAGGAATGACATGGTCAGGAGGTTTGAAGTGACTTGTCTTGAGCTGAATCCTGAAGGGTGAGTTAGTTAACTGGGGGCCGGTAGGGCAGTTCTAGAGGGCACAGCACGTGCAAGGGCTCTGTGGTCAGGGTGTGAACTGTCTGAGGTGTGAAAGCCAGCCTCTGTGTGTAGAGTGCAGAGACCTGGAATGTGGCAGGGCGTAGACACCCCCTGACCCCCACCCCAGGGCCTGGGAGGCCAGGCTAGGAAGTGGGTCTCTAACCTGAGAGCAAGTGAAGGGTTTTAGGTGTGTGAGTGTGTTGGGGTTTGGTGTGGGGGTTTTGTGAAACCCGGTCAGATTAGCCTTTTGACATTTATTCTGGCTGCGTGTAAGGAAGGCGTTGTGGGGAGGGCAGAGTTGATGCTTTAATCCCCTTGCTTCACACCAAGTCCAAGTCCAAAGCCCTCTGAAGATCTCTCAGAGCCTGGATGCTGACGTTTTCACCACTTCCCCTGCCCCCACGGCTCCTGCTTCTTCCTCAGTGATTCTGCTGGTCCTGTGCTGACTCAGATGTGAAACTTCACCCCTTCTCCATTTACACAATCCTACTCTTGACAAATACTTGTGAGCAGAGGATTTACTAAAGATCCTGAGGTCACAGAGACACTTTCACATGGCAACTGCGATAGGTCTGTTCTTCCGGACCTTTTGGGGATACCCTGTTCCCTCCCCTCCCCGGGTCTTCCCTGCATCCTCGGCTCCTCCTCCCCTCTCGCAGGTGGTTTTGGAAACCTGGGATTCCCTGTCACAGGCAAAGTGGTTCCAGTCCCCCCAGCCTCCCATCCCCACGCTTACACATCCGAGTCATGTTCACAAACCTGAAGGTG